ACCAACAATTTATTTTAAAATGAAATATTTTCAGTGCAGAGGAGCACTTTTGTTCTCTATTGCAAAACCTTTTTTCTCTCTGATTGAGCTCCTCTTCTGCCCTATGGGAATCCCAGCTCTTTCCTCCTCCTCCCTCTGTCTTTTCTCCTCGGTCCTTCTCCTGGAGGCGGCAGGAGGAGAGGCGGCCTTCCCTGCGGAGAAAGGAGGAGAGAAGATCTTCTGGGAGGAGTCTATAAGATCCTCCAAGCAAAGCAGCCGCCTTCCTCCGCCAACCCAGCGCCTAACACAGGAAGTAATACCAGAGACAGGAAGCGGAAGCTCCGCCTCTGGCGGCGGCTCTCCTTCAGCTCTAGGAATCTCAGCTCTATGGCCCAGCTTAACCCTTGCGGAGCCGACAGGCGGGAACCTCCCCTCCCCCCCCTTTCTTTTTTCACTCTGGGAGCCTTTTTGGCTGAGGAGCAGGTTGCGAAGGCTCAAAGTTAATAAAGAATATGTCGTTTAGGTGGTTTAGTAAAGGTAAAGGGACCCCTGACCATTAGGTCCAGTCGTGACCGACTCTGGGGTTGCGGTGCTCATCTCGCTCTATGGGCCGAGGGAGCCGGCATTTGTCCGCAGACAGCTTCCGGGTCATGTGGCCAGCAGGACTAAGCCGCTTCTGGCGAACCAGAGCAGCGCATGGAAACGCCGTTCACCTTCCCACCGGAGCGGTACCTATTTATCTACTTGCACTTTGACGTGCTTTCGAACTGCTAGGTTGGCAGGAGCTGGGACCAAGCAACGGGAGTTCACCCCGTCACAGGGATTCGAACCGCCGACCTTCTGATCGGCAAGCCCTAGGCTCTGTGGTTTAACCCACAGCGCCACCTGTGTCCCAGTTAGGTGGTTTACAACTATATAAGATACATACCTGCCATGTTAAAATACACAATAACCATCTCATCTCAACATTAAGACTTCCTTAGTTCAAATATACAAAAAGGCAAGCAAGTTGAAAGGCATGGCCATTGAATCAGGCCAAATAAAAAATTCCCCTTCTAAAACGAAATGTCAGACTTTCAGGGGAATGCTTTTATTTCCCCCCCCCCCTTTAATTTTTTTTTTTTTTTTTGTGACAAATCTTTACATCCTTTCCGCAGTGGGTGGTATTAGTGAAAAATGCAGGTCCTGCGACATTTTCATAACAGAAAAATGGAATACCAATATAAGACGATGCTGGAATCCGGAGGTTAAGTGATACTGTTGTTGTGTATTGAGTCAAAGGATTTTATATCTGTATTATTATTGTCTGTATTTGCATTAGGGTAAAGTAACTGCCTTTTGGTTTCAGAGGGTACAGCTACTATTGGTTCATTTAAGCTGCTGTATTTGGATCCTCTGTCTCATTGGTTTCCTCCAAAAGGCAGGACTGTGATTGCCTGATATTGTTCCCTCCAAAATGTATCCTTTCTAGTTAGTTCCCTGTCCCTATAAATGTAGCTTTCCCCTCCTCAGACCTCAGTCTTGTTTGCTTTAATAAAGAAGTGTTACTAGAGAACTGACTCCAGCATATTATATCAATCATCAAATTTGCGGATGATACAACAGTGGTGGGGCTCATCAGTGAGAACGATGAGACTGCTTATAGGAAAGAAGTACAGGGGTTAATTCAATGGTGTAAAGAAAATAATCTTATGCTTAACACCAAAAAAACCAAAGAACTCATAATTGACTTTAGGAGAAAGAAAAGTGTATTTTTACCATTGCACATAAATGGCGAGGAAGTGGAGAGGGTTGGTAGTTTTAAATACCTGGGCATTTATATCTCGGAGGACCTCTCATGGACTGCAAATATTAATATGGTTGTGAGGAAGGTGCAGGGGAGGTTGTATTTCCTGAGAATGCTCAGGGGACTGAATCTATCCCAGCACCTACTTCTGTCCTATTATCATAGTACCATCGAGAGTGTCTTAACCTATAGTATATTAGCGTGGTATGGGAGCAGCTCTGAAATGGATAAAAAGCTTTACAGAGAACAATTAAAATTGCCCAGAATGTTATTGGGCTCCGACTACCAACCCTGGATGAGATCTTCACGTCGTGCATCTTGAAGAAGTCACATAATATCCTGAGAGATCCCACCCACCCTGCTCACAACTTCTTTGAACTATTGCCTTCGGGCAGAAGATATAGGACAATGAAAACACGAACCACACGCCTTCTGAATAGTTTCTATCCAAGAGCTCTGATTGCACTAAATAATGATCTCAGGGCCAGTTGCAAGGTTTAGCAAGCAGGGAGTAGGAAGGAATGAGATAGGTTTTAGGTTATATGTTATGCCTTTAATAGGTCATGTTATATTCTGGATTATGTTATGTTTTTATAGATTATGTCTGAATAGGATGAGAGTGTCGGAGATAAATGTATATGTGAACCCGGTCTTTGGGTGGGTGTTTGATTTTCGTTGTTGTGTATACTGTGTATATACGGACAATGACAATAAATAAATTTATCTAATCTAAGAGAGCTGAAATCACAAACCCCACGTCACAACAACTGTTGTCTGTGGAACTATAATTAAACTACCATTTGTTGAAATAGCTGCACAACCGGTGTAGAACAATAAAATACTGTTATAAGAATTTTTAGGTCTTGTGGTTGTTTAGTCGTGCCCGACTCTTCGTGACCCGATGGACCAGCGGCTTCTCCTGTATGACAACTCCAGCTGTTCCTGTTGCTTTAAGCCGCTCCTTGACCGTGGAGACAATGTGGGAGGGGATGGAGAGGACTGTGATGGCTGGACTCTATCTGGGACTTTTGTCTTCCGCCTCTGAGCCTCCTTGAAATTCCTCTCCACCTCTGATTCCCCAGACTTCTCCCCCCCCCACCACCACCCATCTCCTGCCTCAAGGGTGGCAGAGACCACCAATTGATGGCCTGTTCTCCTGCATTTTCACCCTGTGCTCCTGCCCCATTTCTGGACTCTTTTTTTTAAAATAAATTTTATTTTTAACTTTTGACTTCCCTCTCCTCCCTTCTGCAGTTATTTATTTCGTATCTTTTTGTTACTGCATATCCAGTTCAAATAAATTTGTAATTTTTCCCTTATCCTCCCCTTAATTATCTCTTACTGCACGTGTTTTTATCAATCCCACTAATGTTTTGTTTACAATGTGTCCTCAAATAATCAATAAATTTTCCCCGTTCTATTTTAGTTGATACCATTTAGTTGATATCCCTTCTTGTAACTTGAAGCTATTGGTTCGAGTCCTACCCTTCAGAGCAGGAGAAAACAAGCCTCTTCCATGTGACAGACATTGTGATATTTAAAGATGGCTATCATATCTCATTCGCTTTTCCCAGCTAAACATACCCAACTCCTTCAAGCGCTCCTCATAAGGCTTGTTTCCCAGACCCTTCATCATCCCAGTTGCCTTCCTCTGCAAACATTCCAGCTTAATAAATCTCTTCAAAGTTTTTTAACAATTAAATAATGTTATGTTCATAATAAAGAGCCCAGGCCAATGTGCACAAACAATAGGAAGTTCAGCTCTTTATTGGCAAAGCATTCGGTTACATCAGCAAGGGATATATGGAACACTTCTGCTAGTGTTAAAAAATAAAGAAAGGTGTGCTAATAGGTGTGCCGATACACCTCAGGTTCTTCTACCTACCTCTTGACTAGATTTCTGCAATACATTATATGTGAAGCTCTTTGTGAAGAAGGCTCAGAAAGTGGCGGCCAGATTCCCAACTGCTGCATGATGCTCTGAGCATATAAAACCTTCCTTCAGGATCAGCCCACAACCTGCATTCATCATCTGAGGCCTTTTTTTACTCTGCATTCCTCCAAGTGAGATGCAGAGAGGTGGCAAGCATGGGACTTTTACTGGTGGCTCCCATCACCCCAGGAGGCTACTTTGAGGAGGCAACAATATTTATTTTCAACAATGCTTTTGGCATTTAACTTGCAGAATTTTAGATATTCTTGTCCTCTTTAAGGGGCTCAGGTGTGCTTTCTATGTACACATGATTTTTTGGATTTTACTTTGATACAGCCGCTCATAGACTCTCATAGCTTCTCCCCACCTGAATGCAATGCAGCAATGACTTTTATACATGTCTCTGCACATACACACATTCCTGAGATAAAGAATGGATGAGTCAGCAGGCAGACACCCGGCCTTTGACTGTTGCAAGGTTACGCAGTGTACCTGGGACTCTATCTCTCAACATCCGGATGTGGAGGAAACAGCAGCACTCATTTATAAAATTACACAAACACGCCTGATCTGGTGTGCACAAGCAACCAGCAATTTCTCTTGTACGACAGCTCCAGCTATTATTATTTATTATTACACTCATCATTTTATTAAATTTGTATACTGCCTATACATGCAGGTCTCAGGGCAGTTCACAGGATAAAATCACAATATATAAACACAAAATATATACCGTATTTTTCGCTCTATAAGACGCACCAGATCTATAAGACGCACCTAGTTTTTGGAGGAGGAAAACAAGAAAAAAAATATTCTGAATCTCAGAAGCCAGAACAGCAAGAGGGTCCGCTGAGCAGTGAAAGCAGCAATCCCTCTTGATGTTCTGGTTTCTGGGATAGCTGTGCAGCCTGCATTCACTCCATAAGATGCACTTTCCCCTTGAGAGCGGCACACCGTCTTTTGGAACAGCACCAACCCCAAGTTTCAGTAGGATAGCTATGCAGTCGAGGTGCGGCTGAACGACTACCTGGACATCATCTGCCCGCACTACGAGGACAGCAGCGTGGCTCCTCACTCGATGGAACGCTACACACTATACCTGGTGGAGCAGGAGGAGTATGAGACCTGCAAACCGCGCTCGAAGGAGCAGATCCGGTGGGAGTGCAACAAGCCAGATGCCCTGCACGGCCCTGAGCGGTTTTTGGAGAAATTCCAGCGCTACACTCCCTTCACGCTGGGCAAAGAATTCCGGGAGGGCCATGAGTACTATTATATCTCAAAACCTATCCATCACCACGGAGAATCTTGCACTTTCCCCTTACTTTTTAGGAGGGAAAAAGTGAGTCTTATAGAGCAAAAAATACGGTAATCTAAATAAAAACCCCGCCCCCCCAATTTTTTTTTAAAGGGGATTGGATGTCAATCAGCCTGAGGCCTAGTTAAAGAGCTTTTGCCTAGTGTGTGAACCTCCCTGAGAGAAGTATTCCACAAACGAGGAGCCACCGCAGAAAAGGCCCGTTCTCATGTTGCCACACTCTAGGCCTCTCATGGAAGAGGCACATGAAGAAGGGCCTCAGAAGATGACCTCAGGGTCCAGGTAAGTGCTTATGGAAAGAGGGTCCAGGTAAGTGCTTATGGACCCTGAGGTCATCTTCTGAGGCCCTTGTTGCTGTTCCTTTATGCCCCTCGTTGTCAGTGGAGACAGTGGGTGAGGGAATGGAGGAGAGTCCAATGGCAAGACTCTTTCTGGGACCTTCCGCTATCTATCCAACCCACCACTTGAACTCCTTCCAGAAAAAAAGGCCACAAACTGTTTCCTACTGAAAAAACCGGTTGAAAGCAAAAACCCTTTCTCCTCTAAAATGGAAGGTATATTGGGCTCCAAAGGCCTCCGAACAAGTAAGAGCTGGAGATAAGGGAATTCTAACACTGAGAAGAATCTTTCATTTGCTCTCTGCAGGAACTCTTGAGATCACTGAATCTCCTTCTACTTTCCAAGTGTAACATGTTTCCCTTTTATGACTCGTTAGATGCGAGTTAAGGGAATCTATATGACTTAAGCTGTCTCCACCCTCCAGGCAATTATAAGGTTTCTCCCCTGTATGAGTTCTCAGGTGCTGAGTAAGGTGACCCCTCTGACTAAAACTCGAGCCACACTCCAAACATTTATAAGGTTTCCCCCCTGTATGAGTTCTTAGATGCTGTATAAGGTGACCATTCCAACTGAAGCTCTTGTCACACTCCAAACATTTATAAGGTTTTTCCCCTGTGTGAGTCCTTCTATGTTTAGAAAGGGACCAATTAGCACTGAAGGTCTTTCCACACTCCCAGCATCTATAAGGCTTCTCCCCTGTATGAGTCCTTTTGTGTCTTGTGAGCACGCTACACTGAATAAAGCTCTTTCCACATTCCAAACATTTATAAGGTTTCTCCCCTGTATGAATTCTTCTGTGTCTAGTGAGGTGGATATTCTGCCTGAAGCTCTTTCCACACTCCAGACATTTATAAGGTTTGTCCCCTGTATGAATTCTTTGATGCTTTATGAGGGAGTCACTGTGCCTAAAGCTCTCTCCACACTCCCTGCAGTGATAAGGTCTCTCGCCCGTATGAGTTCTTTGATGCAAACTAAGGTGACCACTCTGACGGAAGCTCTTTCCACACAACAAGCAATTATATGGTTTCTCGGCGGTATGACATATTTCCTGAAACGTAAGGTAGTCTATGCAACTGATGTTCCTTCCGAGCTCCAAACATTCATAAGGTTCCTCCCCTGTGTGAATTATCTGATTTTCGTTAATCTCAAAATCAGTGGATTCCCTCCCAGCATTCTGCATTTCTGTCCCCTCTTGTCTGTTGGTAACATCTTGAACCCACAGCTTCCGTTGCTCCTCCTGCTCCTCAGCAATTTCACATGCCACTTCTGACGGTTCTCCCTCAGTCCAGATCCCCCAAACATCTCCTGGTGGATTAAAAAGAAAACCTGGTAAAATAAACATCTGCCCATACAGGACTTTAATGTGGCCTTGAATCAAGGGCCTTCTCGGTGGTGGCACCCGCCCTGTGGAACTCCCTCCCACCAGATGTCAAAGAGAAAAATAACGACCAAACTTTTAGAAGACACCTGAAGGCAGCCCTGTTTAGGAAAGCTTTTAATGTTTAATAGGTTATTGTATTTTAGTGTTCTGTTGGAAGCTGCCCAGAGTGGCTGGGGAAGCCCAGCCAGATGGGTGGGCTATAAATAATAAATTATTATTATTAGCTTGTGTCTGTATTTTTATTTTATTTTACATCATCCCCAGAACATCCTCCTCATCCAAGCAGTAGGCCATCCTTCCTTCTCTTAAATTCAGAAACATAGTGTGGAGAAACAAAATAAAGCGGTTTTTAAAGTTGCCAGTCTTTCCTGATATTGCCACAGGGACTAGAGACTTTAAAAAACTGCACACAAATTGTCTGGTCTTTATGGCAGGAGTGAATAATCTTTGAATGTCTCAGGATGCTGTTAAACTGCAGCACCCTTCAACCTCAGCAAGCAAGGCCAGGGACAGACAGGGTGATTCAGAACAGTGATTCAGCATGGTATGGGCGGGGACAAGGGGGTCTGCACACCTGTCTTATGGGCACAAGGAGGCCCTTGGCAGCAACCCTGCTCAGGGGCAAAATAAGATTTGCAGGGGTTTGCATCATCATCATCATCTTCATCATCTTTTATTTATACCTGGCCAGAGCCGGGCTCAGGGCGGCTAACACCAGTAAAATTACAATTAAAAAAACACAAACCAATTTAAAATACAGGTTAAAATATAATTCAAAATGCAGCCTCATTTTAATGGTAGCCCACAGTTCAAAACCATAAGGGGAGGGCAACATAAGGGTCAGACTGAGTCCAAACCAAAGGCCAGGCGGAACAGCTCTGTCTTGCAGGCCCTGCGGAAAGATGTCAAGTCCTGCCGGGCCCTAGTCTCTTGGAACAGTGTGTTCCACCAAGTTGGGGCCAGCACTGAAAAGCCCCTGGCCCTAGTTGAGACCAATCTAACCACCTTGCTACTTGGGACCTCCAAGGTGTTGTCATTTGTGGACCTTAAGGTCCTCCGTGGGGCATACCAGGAGAGACGGTCCCGTAGGTACAAGGGTCCTAGACCGCATAGGGCTTTAAAGGTCAAAACCAGCACCTTAAACCTGTCCCTGTACTCCACCGGGAGCCAGTGCAGTTGGTAAAGCACTGGGTGAATGTGATCCCGCGGCAAGGACCCTGTAAGGAGCCTCGCCACGGCATTCTGCGCCCGCTGGAGTTTCTGAATCAGCTTCAAGGGCAGCCCCGTGTAGAGAGAGTTACAATAATCAAGCCTGGAGGTGACCGTCGCATGGATCACTGTGGCCAGATCAGGGCGAGAAAGGTAAGTAACTCATAGCCAATATGTCCATTCTCTGATGCCTATATCAGACGCATGTCCTGCTTTTGGGCTTCCTCTGGGCATCTGGTTGGGCTACTGTGAGAACAGAATTGTGGACCACATAGGCCTTTGCTTTGATCCAGCATGGTTCTTCAAATGTTCTTTTGCCCAGAGGAAAATTCCAACACTCTTTCTAGTGAGCTAATTGATAGTACCACCAACAGGAATTTATACCTTCCATAGTTATTGATTTAAGGGGGAAAGGGATATTTACCTAGAGAGGCCACCATCTCATGAATCTCCAGCATGACCTCCTCATACAGAGCTCTCTGGTCTGGATCCAGCAAGGCCCATTCCTCATTGGTGAAAGTAAAGAACAGCTCCTCGAAGCTCACTGATTCCTGGAAGAAGAAAAAAATCCCCTTCCTTGGAGATACTTCAAGGCAAGGTGTGGGCAGCATCTCTCCTCCACTCCCACTGCAATGGGAGATGGATTCTACCTTTAGTGGTCAGAGATCAGCAAATGCAGATTTCATCTACCCATGAGCTCAGTGTTTTTCAATTTTGGGTCTGCAGCTTTTGTTGGACTACAGCTCCTATCATCCCTGAGCACTGGTAATACTAGCTGGGGATGATGGGAATTGTAGTCCAACAACAGGTGAAGACCCAAATTTGAGAAACACCACATTAGTTCTTAAAGAAGTCAAATCTTCTAACAAGAACGTGTAGCTTATATGTGAGATTTCCCATCTTCCTGTCTTTCAAGAGGGAAGCAAAGGTAGTGACATTAAAAAAAAAAGGTTTACAGAAACCAGCTTAGTTAGTTTAAGGTCTCTTTCAGGAAAACTGATGGGGAACATTATTAAAGTCAACAGGATAACCAAATGTATAGCAGAACAAGCCTTGCTAAAGCCAAATCAGCATGGCTTCTGCAAGAGTGACTCACGAGCCATTTGATTTTTTTGAGTGTGTCTAGACGGTATGCAACTGACAGCGCACCCAAATTCTTTTAGTACAGTCTCTCACCAACGTCTTGGTGAGTCATGGAATAAGAAGAGAGCCTGCCTTATGGATCAGCAACGGCTTAAAGAACAGAAAGAAGAGAATGGGAAGAAATGGCCAACTCTCAAAGGAAGGAATGCTAGAAGTGAAAGCCCCTAAGGATCAGTATTGGGATGAGTGCTTTTTAAATAGCTTATATATGACCTGGAGTCAGTGCTGAGCAGCTAGGTAGCCAACCTAGCTGTTCACAACAGAGTATTGCAGAGAGCTCCAATAGGATGTCTTCAAATTACATTGAACACCTAACAGCAAATGTAATTCAAGGTGTTTAAGCAAGTAGAGTTGTACCTTGATTCTCGAACAGAATGCATTCCAGGAGTCTGTTCAACTCCCAGAACCATTCAAAAACCAAGGTGCGGCTTCCACTTGGCTGCAGGAGCTTCCTGCACTCAATTGGAAGCTGTGGAAGCAGCACAGGATATTCGGTTTCCAAAAATCGTTCAAAAACCGGAACATTCATTTCTGGTTTTTGATCGTTCGGTAGTCGAAATGTAGGAGTTCCCAGGCGTTCAGCAACCAAGGTACAACTGTAATTCAAACTTGTAAGCAAGTTTAAGTAATACACATTCAAGAAAAATAATTCTACTTTAACTATACTCACAGGATCCGAGTTGGTGATGAATGAGCAGGAGAGACAGATAGCTCGGTAAAGAAATTGGCCCAGTGTGTGGAAGTTGTGAAATGGATCAATTCTGATTTAGAGACCATTGGTAAAGTGATTTGAAATGAAGCTGCCAATATCATCATGCAGATATACATCATGCAGATGGTGCAGGTGTCCTTAGAAATTTGAATATGGTTTTGGTTTCCTGACCTCAAAAATAATTTGTAGAGCCAGAAAATGTTGGGGGGGGGGAACAAAAAAAAATAAGCAAGAGGTTGGAGATATATGAGGAGTTTCTAATTTGGAACAAAAGTGCTTAAGAAGGAACAGGATAAGAGACGTACAGAGGTATGCAAAGGATGGGAAAATGGGAGACAGGAAGGTGTTTCTCATTCTAGGATGATACTGAAGTCCTAGGCAATCCAATGAAGGTATTAAGGGCAAACTAAAGGAAGCACTTCTTCACAATGTTAAACTCTGCATTCACTAAGGCAACATGCAGTAATAGCCACCAAATTAAAAGAGAATTAGGCAAATTCATAGCAGATAAGGTTATGATTGACTACCAGCTATGATGACTGTGTGCTGCCTGCACTTGCTATGAGCAGTATATTCCTCATTGCCAGTTCCTGGAAATCACCTGAAGAGTGCTGTTGTACTGAGCTCCTGGTTGCAAATTTCCCAGAGTCATCTGTTCGGTCACTGGGGGACAGGATGCTGGACTAGGTGGGTTAATGGCCTGATCCACCAGCTAGGCTCTTCTTAGGTCATGCTCAAGGTTTCATGAGCAAAACTCAGTCAAGCCCTGAATCTGCTCCCCCAAGGAATAGCCCCATTGATCCTCTGCAACCAGCTCCAGCCAGGCTGACAGACAGCAGTCCTGAACACCCTTCAGAAACTGGGTTTTGCCCCTCGAGCCCTTCTAAGTCTGGGGTTGGGCCAGGCAAAAGCTACGGTCAGGCCAAGAATCTTAGACACGGAGAGAGAACAGGACTGCTCAAGGTGCTCCGACTATAAAGTTGGAGAAATTGAGAGATATATAGCCACACTGGCAGCATATCTCTTCTTTCTCGTATCTAAAAATGCAAGAAGGGCTTTTACACTCGCCAGAAGCTCGGCTCTGCCCTCACCGGTCCTGGAAGGATCCTTTAAAGATGTCCCATATGCTCAGAGACTTTGCGCCTGTCCATTGGGGGATATAGGAAGCCCAGAGCACTTGTTCTTTTATGAAGAGGAACGTAGTGAGACCATTGATCCCCTGCTGGTGAGGCTCACCGACCTCCCGGAAAAGCAAAAATTTGAACTTTTCCAGTTAGGCAAGACAACCCAGATGGTTGCCAGATTCTGTGTACAGATCTGTAGGCGCAGACCATCTCCCAACTCAAACTAGTTCGTTAAGAAAATCTCCAAACTCAGTTCCATGGTGACTCTGGGTCATCTCTCTGCGTAGCTTATCTTAAAGTTTTAAGTGTCTATACGCTTATTGCATTTATAAATTTTAAATTTAATGTTGTACATTGTTTTAAATGTTTGTTTTCCTTCTGGGATTGTACCCCCAAGTGTGTTTTATAAGCTGGTCTCTGACCGTAATAAATTATCTATCTATCTCAGTCAAGCCAACCCACTTCCTCTGGCAGCACCCTCAGAAACACAGGGATAAGACTCAGTCCTTCTGTTACAAGGAAGGGCGCACTCCAGCTATCCCCAACATCTCTACCTGATGACCTTTCTCCTACCTCAACTGGATGCATGGTGGTCGCTTCTTCTCCAGGGTAAAGCAGGGAGGATTCACAGTGTTGCTCCAATGCCATTGCACAGCCTGTGAAAGGGAACTGGTGGTCACTGAAGATGACATTCCTAATTTGCCCCAATGCACAAGAGAGTGGCAATCAAACAGGACCTGAGAAGCTAGAGTTTTGGAGAGATTTATTTTAAATACCTCAACAGAAGACCAGTAAAAACCTTTGAACCAATGAAAAGTATGAGCAAAAGAATATCAAACAGAAATCAGCAGCATAAATGAGGGAGAAATAAGCAACAGCATGTGAAAATGATGGTTCTGGAGTTGTAAATTTATAAATATACAACTTAACTTTAAAACGTATGTCTATTCAGAAAACGAATAGGCAAGGTTAAAATTATCTACAATTTAACCGTTGCTGAATTCTCCATAGGCCTGCCTGAACTCCACCAAAATACACAGCCACTGAACAGACGAAAAAAAACTCAGCTACCAATCCAGAGTGAAATTGCAGGCCTTAGATAAGTGGTATTAGAGATAAATCTTGTATCTAGGATATAGGATCCAGAAAATTCCAAACATATAATCAAGCCACGTAAAATTATCCCGTTACATGAGGAACAGCTGCATTTTCCATTGTTTTAGGGTGTGCCTTGACACCACCACCCCAATCTGTTAGGGTACAAGGAAACACAAGTTCTTGTCGTAGACAGTGTGGCAGGGAAAGAGGGAGAAAGATATGGATTTGCCCTGCCAGGTTATAAAGGGAAAGAGCACATAGAAAAGCATTATTTTAGGAAAAATTATATACAGAAATGCATTATATTAGGGAAAAAAATAAATATTAGGGAAACTATGTGTTCATTAGTAGAAATCTGCACTAAAATGCCGGCAAATTCGCAAGAGGTCCTTTCTTTTCATAAGATGTCAATGTCTGGGTGACTAAATTTAATACTGGGGGAAAGGAGATGCACAGAGAAAAATATAATTGAAAGAAATTGCCCACACCTAATGGATCTTTGAAAATCCTTCCCCACGATCTCTCCCTGCAGCCTCAAATTTTGCGTGCCAAGGGCAAACTTGCCCAGCACCTTTCACAGCAGGCAAAAGGGACGCAGAGAGGTAGGAAAGAAGCGACGAACTGTAAGGGCAACAGGACTTATTATTTAGCTTTCTTTGTTATTAAGAATGAGGCCTTTGTGCATAATAGTTTCTGGATGGGTTTGTGAATTTTATCTGTGCTATCTTTATTTTAATCTGTGTGCCGCTTGCATACTCTTCTGAGTATGATAGATATTTTTATATTTTGAAAATAAAATAATAAAATAATTAGTAGATACATTCTGAGGGACCGACATTTTTCTATGAAATATTCTCAGTGCAGAGGAACACGTTTGATTCTCTATTTAAAAACCTTTTTCTCTCTCGGCTTGAGCTGCGCGGGGTCCGCCTTGCCTTCCTTCTCCTCCTCCGAGAAGGCTCTTCTCCTGCCCTTTGGGAGTCCCAGCTCTTCCCTCCTCCTCCTCCTCGGTCTCTCCTTCCTCGCATCTGACCCGCAGGCGGGAGGAGAGGCCGCCTTCCCTGCGGAGAAAGGACGGGAGAAGATCCTCCGGGATCCGGACAGAAGCCCCTCCAGGCAAAGCAGCCACCTCCCTCTGCCACCTCCCGCAGGAAGGACAGACCCGGAACAGGAAGCGGAAGCTCCTTCACCTCTCGCGCAGGACTCTCCTTCCGCTCTAGGAATCTCAGCGCTGTGCCTCCCTTTAACCCTCGCGGAGCCGATCAGCAGTAACCTGTTGGCTGCTCCGGGCGGAGAGCGAGGAGAGGCGCCGCGGTTTTGTCTGGAAAGCCCTGCAGGATCAGGCCCCGAGTGCACGATCCTCTCCTTCAGCAGGTGCCCCATGCAGGATCCAGTGACCATGGGCAGCCTTAGTACCATACAATTATTATTATTATTATTATTATTATTATTATTGAGAGTCTGAGATCGTAGAAAAGATAATCTTTACCATTAAAGAGACTAAAGAGGCATTAAACTTCCATATGGTGAAAATATATGGATATGAATAACTATTTTAAAATACAGCAAATAATCCTAAAAAGATGTAACCAGGTCTTCACCTCCTTTCCCTGAACGTTACCAGTAAGGAGAACCAGTTCTTAACAGGTACCTTGGTTTTTCCCCTTTCCCCTCACTGTGGGAGCCTATTTTGCTGATGAGCAAGTTACAATGTCTCAAATAGTGTCACGTTTGGGAGGCTTACACCTATATAAAATACATATATATACAGTGGTACCTCGGGTTACATATGCTTCAGGTTACAGACTCCGCTAACCCAGAAATAGTATCTCAGGTTAAGAACTTTCCTTCAGGATAAGAACAGAAATCGTGCTCCGGCGGCGCAGCGGCAGCAGGAGGTCCCATTAGCTAAAGTGGTGCTTCAGGTTAAGAATGGTTTCTGGTTAAGAACGGACCTCCAGAACAAATTAAGTACTTAACCCGAAGTACTACTGTATGTTAAAATGCACAATAATTTGATCTCAACATCCTTACTTAAAATATATAATAAAACAAGCAAATTGAAAGGAATGAGCATTAGAATCAGGATAATACAACTTCAGAGTTGGATTGGACCCAGGGGTCATCTAGCCCAACCCCCTGCAATGCAGGAATCTCAGTAAAGCATCCATGACAGGTGGCCAGCCAAACACTGCTTAAAATACGCCAAGGAAGGAGAGTCCACCACTTCTCAAGGGAGACCAGGAGACCGTTCCACTGTCCAACAGCTCTTACTGTCATAAAGTCCTTCGTGTTTAGTTGGTATCCCCTTTGGTTCAAGTCCTACCCTTCAGAGCAGGGGGAAACAGGATTGCTCTCTCTTCCATGTGATAGCCTTTTAAAATATTTGAAGATCATATCTCCTCTCAGTCTCCTCTTCAGGCTAAACATACCCAGCTCCAAGTGCTCCTCCTAAGGCTTTCCAGCTTGTCAAAACTCTTAAATTGTGGTGCCTAGAATTGGACACAGTATTCCAGGTGTGGTCTGACCAAGGCAGAATAGAGTGGTACTATTACTTCCCTTGACACTAATTCTGTGGATGCAGCCTAGAATAGCATTAATTTCTGTTTTGCTCCTGCTGCATCACACGGTTGACTCGTGTTAAGCTTGTGTTCTACTAAGGCTCCTGGATCCTTTTCACATGCACTACTAGAAAGTCAGATGTCCCCTATCTTATATTTGTGCTGCAGGTTCTTTCATTCTATTCAGTTCATTAAAATGCAAATAATGTCCTTGGCAGCAACTCCCTTCTGAAGATTCCTTGGGCTGGAGGTTAGGGCAAAGAAGGTGGGTGACCCACAGGCAGCACAAATATATCCCACCGACAACCCTCCCCTAGTCTGGACATTTCAGAAGGATAAAACTTGAAACCCTCATGAAGGTGAAGAAGCATGCAGTCTGAAACTGTGTCCCATTAACTAACATGTAAAAAAGTCTGGAAAATTAATGAACCTTCTACCCTGTTGTGGTTTCTTGACAAAGTCCTGAGGTTTATTATACAGTCGTAGCTTGGTTTTTGAACAGCTTAGTTATCAAAAGCTTTGGCTCCCAAATGTCGCAAACCCGTAAGTGAGTGTTCCAGTTTGCGAACTTTCTTTGGAACCTGAACGTCTGACACAGCTTCCCATTGAGTGCAGGAAGCTCCTGCAGCCAACTGGAAGCCGCACCTTGGTTTTTGAACATTTTTGGAAGTCAAACGGACTTCTGGAATGGATTAAGTTCGAGAACCAAGGTACGGCAGTTTTTAATGAGCATTTATTCGTAAGGGGCTAAACGCAGTAAAAACAGAATCAACCCAGACTTCATGACAACTGGAAACAGAAACAAATAGCAATGTCTTGGTCAATGAAACAATTAGAGGAGCTATCAAATATCCAGAATATTTCTGGCCTTCCTGACAGGGGCTGAGGGAGACCTTTCGTCCATGAAGAGGGTGATCTGAGAGGCTACGCTCTTTGGAAAGATATAATATATGTCAGCAGAATACCAGGTAAAGCATTTCCATCTATGAAGCATATCAGCCTGGTTACATCAAAGGAAAATTCACAGCACATGAATAAATCTTGGGGAAGGGTGAAATACGGAACAGCGTATGTAACAAATGATTACGTGCACAAAATAAATTAGAACATGGATATGTAAATTTTACTCAGAAGAACAATCTGCAGCATAGCCGCTACAAGGAATCAATCTATTTTATTATTATTTTGTAATTTCAGAAGAGATGAGAGATAAATATCAGAGCCTATAGGTAAGATGCAGATAAAAAAGGCTTGGAAACTGAAATGGGGAAGTAGGCAACCCCACCTGGAACTAAGCAAAAATATGGAACAATAAAATTTTATACATACAAGATTCAAAAGCAAGGTCTCTTCCAAGGTGTTAATTAATTAACTAAATTTTTGTTCATAACCCAGAGCCCCAGCCCAATGTGGACAAACAATAGGAAATTCAATTCTCTATTGGCAAAGAACTAGGTTACATCAGCAAGGGATAAATTAACACTTCTGCTAATGTTAACAGAAAAAATATGGTGGACTAACAGGGGCCACCATATACCAATGCACAGACTCACAAGAGACCTCAGGTTCTTCTACTAACACTGAGCTTTCCAAACTTTTCATGTTGGTGAAATGATTTCTAGACATATGTCATTTTGTGACAAAGTAATTCAGTTTGACTAGCAAACGGAAGGTTAAATGAACCCCTTTCCAGCCATGGGAGGAACTCAGGATACAATCACAACCCAAAAATGTGAAATATATAATCATAACAAAAACAACCCCCCTCCAAAAAACACCCCACATTCTAAAAGGGCATTAGATGTCAATCAGCCAGAAAGCTGGTTAAGGAGAAAGGCTTTTGCCTAGTGCCTAGGCGCCAGGTGGACCTGCCTGAGGAAAATATTCCAGAGACGGGGAGCCACTTCAGAAAAGGCCCGTTCTCATGTTGCCACACTCCAGGCCTCTCAATGGAGGCAGCACTTTAAGAAGGGTCTCAGAAGATGACCTCAGGGTCCAGGTATCTTCATATGGAAAGAGACGGTCCTTGTTGCTATTGCTTAATGCCACTCATTGTAAGTGGAGACAGGGTGAGGGGATGGAGGAGAGTCCAATGGCAGGACTCTTTCTGGGACCTCTTCCACTTCAGAGACTGCAACCCCTTCCCTGCCTTCAGCCAGTGTGATTAAGAGTGGTGGACTTGTAATCTGGTGAACAGGGTTCGCTTCCTCAGTCCTCCACGTGCAGTTGCTGGGTGACCTTGGGCCAGTCACACTTCTCCGAAATCTCTCAGCCTCACTCACCTCACAGAGTGTTTGTTGTGGGGGAGGAAGGGAAAGGAGATTGAGACTCCTTAGGGTAGTGATAAAGCGGGATATCCAAACTCCTCTTCTTCCTCTACGACCACCTCTTGCCTCATGGGTGGCACTGAACCTCACTATAAATCTTCCACTACCCATCCTAACCACCACTCAAACTCCTGCCCGTCCCTCACACTGGCTTAAAGAAGAATGCCCACAATCTGCTTTCATACTGAAAAAACAGGTTGAGAGCAAAAGCCCCTTTCTCCTCTAAAATGGAAGGCATATTGGGCTCCAAAGGTCTACTGTAGTCTATTGTAAAAACTGGAGATAAGGGGATTCTACACTGAGTAGACTCTTTGGTTTGCTCTCTTAGGAGCTCTTGAGATCACTGTATATTTTTCTACCTTCCAAGCTTAAGATATTTCACTTCTATGGATTATTTGATGTGAGTTAAGGGAATATCTGTAGGTGAAGTTCTTTCCACACTCCAAGCAATTATAAGGTTTCTCCCCGGTATGAGTTCTCAGGTGTTGAGTAAGGTGACCGCTCTGACTAAAACTCTTCTCACACTTCAAACATTTATAAGGTTTTTCCCCTGTATGAGTTCTTAGATGCTGAGTAAGGGAGCCACTGAAGCTCTTTTCACACACCGAGCATTTATAAGGTTTCTCCCCGGTATGAGTTCTCAGGTGTTGGGTAAGGTGACCACTCTGACTAAAAGTCTTGTCACACTCCAAACATCTATAAGGTTTTTCCCCTGTATGAGTTCTTAGATGCTGAGTAAGGGAGCCACTGAAGTTCTTTCCACACTCCCAACATTTATAAGGTTTCTCCCCTGAATGCCTTTTTTTGTGAAAAGTAAGGGAATCTAGGCGACTGAAGTTCTTTCCACACACCAAACATTCATAAGGTTTCTCCCCTGTATGAATTCTTTGATGCTTAGAAAGGGACGAACTGACTGTGAAGCTCTTTCCGCACTCCAAACATCTATAAGGTTTCTCCCCTGTATGTGTTCTTTTATGTATGGTGAGGTGACTATTCTGACTGAAACTCTTTTCACACTCTGAACACTTATAAGGTTTTTCCCCTGTATGAGTTTTTAGATGCTGAGTAAGGTGAACACTCTGACTAAAACGCTTGTCACACGCCAAGCATTTATAAGGTTTTTCCCCTGTATGAGTTCCTTGATGTTGCAAAAGGTGGCCACTCCGGCTGAAACTCTTTCCACACTCCAAACATTTATAAGGTTTCTCCCCTGTATGAATTCTCATGTGTCTTTTGAGCTGGCTACGCACACTAAAGCTCTTTCCACATTCCGAGCATTCATAAGGTTTTCTCCCTG